CTTTTGGAACTTAATCACCCCTTACCTGGAAAAGTCCATGGGCTTGGGCGTCTGGCAAGACATTTGAACGTCAACTTTGGACCTGGGGACCAGAGCACATAAAAATGGGTTACAGAGAAGGAAATGAGCTGGACACTGGTAGTGGTAATATCCCACTATAGCTCTGGACTCAGGGACTCTGGCTGGTGAAGGCCTCACCTGGTCACTTATGCACTCGAGTCCAGGCTGCAAGCGAAATTTGCCATTGTGCACAGGGCACTCTCTGCTGGTGCCATATGCTTGAAAATGTCTGAATTTTGTGCGGAGACACACAGACAGTTCTTCTAAGTGCAGTTACATAATGAGGGCATGGACTTGCATGATAATTAGCATGTGTAATTAGGCACAGTCTTCTTGTCCTTTAATTAGACAATCAAGACATCTAATTACTAAATTAAGATGTAATTACGTGGCCCAAGATCTTCATATTTCTTTCTACCCATCAGAGATTATATTTAGAAAATAATTTGCGAAAAAACCGATGGAAAAAAGTGAATGTAATCTCCAATTTGAGAGTGTTTAAAGGAAGTGTTCAATAGCTTCGAGCCTCCCTTGCTCTCTCCCTCTGGGAGTAAGGGGAGTCATTTAAAATACTGTCACCTGCTTGAAAGGCTACTTTTTCCAAATGGTGCTGCTGACCTTTGGCGCGCATGCTAATGAGCAGGAATGTGCATTGTGGCTAATTCGTGTAATTCGCACTGGGCGTGCTTCATGATTCCACTTGGATGTGGACTTACTGGTGGTGTTCTGGGAAGCCATTCAAAGCAGCGGTACTTTCAGACGACTGGAGGACACACTGCTTCCCATTCTGCCCGATTGGTTCTCCGCCCCGCCCCCTGGCTATTTTAGCGGTGGGCACATTGCTGTGTCCTGTAAACGGTACTTAGGAGGTGAGTCCCCTCCTGCAGACAGTGGAGGGTTTGTAGAACTGTTCTCAGGTCAGCGAGTAAAGCGAGCACCCCATCCTCCTCACTGCAGAAGGTTCTGAGCACCAGTATTCAGCAGCAGCCAGACCAGAGTGCTAGTCTGTTCTTTTCCCTTGTTCCTAAATTGGGATTTGGCTGATCTCTGCATGATGCTAAACACCCAGTTTGACTCATTAATTTTTTTGAAACAACTGAACTTTTGACCTAATTGTCTGCCTGGGTGGGGATGGGGCCATATGGCAGGTTTGCCCCAGCCAACACCGTCTCTAACTATGTCACCCCTCTGTTCCCATAAGCTGAAATACCCCTGTAATCCAGTGTTAGGGCAGCCTTACTGAAAAGTGGCACAGACTCTGTGGGGCCACATTTCCTGGTTTTCGGTGAAGAGAATCTGCCTCCCTTATGGATTTCTGCAGGAAACAGTGGGGATTAAGGAGGTCTCCCTGCCACGAGGTGCCTCCATCCCTGTTTTTTTCTCTCAATGACACCATGGCCATGGAATGTGACGGACAAGTTATATGTCAAGAGTGGTTGGCTTTGACCCAGAACTCTGGAGAGCTTATTCTCTGCCACTTTACATTTTCTCGTTGTCTCCTGAGTTATGGCTCATGGTAAATTTAGAAGCTGAGGAACCGGCGTGTGTGGAGACAATTGATAGAGTTCTGCGGCAGGAGGGTGTTAGACTGCCTTTCTCTGAGGCACCTGCCGGCTTCGAAGGCCCGGGAGATCCCACTCACTGCTCAGCCGTACCTGAGCTTCCCTCCTTCTCTCTCCTTGTTAGTCCCCTGCCACTGAGTCCTTAGATAGGGTCGCAGCCTCAGTCAGAGAACTCACAGTCCTGCTGCAAACACGGCCACTGACGTGAACATAAGCAACAGTTTCTCGGCTTTAAATTTTGCTTTTGGAATACCACCCAGGTATTCCATGGCATTCTCAAGGCTGGAGAAGTTGGGCATCAGGCACCCTAAGCCCTCTCCTTTTGTTGGCAACTTGATGTTTTTCCACCAGGTGAGGCATGGGTTCTCTGGATCTTGCACAAAGTTCCCCATAAGCATTGCTCTTGGTCATGTTTTGGGCGTCGGGGTGACCTCCACGTGGAGAACCCTGTGATGGGAAGAGTCCTTCTTCATGGAATAGATATCTTTTCCTTCCTCCCCCTCCTTCCTTTCTAGGCAGGGTTGCCAAGGCTGGCTTCAAACTTGTTCTGTGAAGACTCTGACCTTTGGGTCCTCTTACCTCCACCTCCTGAGTGCTGGGGTAATAGGGGTACACCACCACACCCAGCGTATGCAGTGCTGGGAATTCAACCTAGGGCTTTGTGCATGCTAGGCAAGCACGCTGTCACCTAAGCTATCGCTCCAGGTTTTGTTAGGATGATGACTCATGTCTTATGACTCATCAGTGTGCATCCATTCATTCATTCATTCACCCACCCGAAACCCAGTGTATTTTGTATTTAAATATACTAGGTTCTAGGATGCGGAGGAGAAGATACTCGCACTCTCGAGGTCACCGATCTGTCAAGAGCTGGATTGGGAAGTGCACATAGCGGCTGTGATCCTGCTTCAGGGAGAACCACCAAGGAAGGATCTTTGTTAGGGAGCTCCTCAAGAGGGGGCCCTGCAGGAGCTGCGGAGAAGGATACACACACTAGGAAGAGAGCATCATGCACAAGGGGGCCGCCATGTGGGAATAGCGGCAGCCCAGAGCCTGCAGGAACCAAAGCTTATAATGAGGGAACTCTGGAGAATGTAGCTGCTAGTCTACTTCCAGATTCAAAGGTCAAGCCAAGAGCCATTGTAGACTACTGTTGACCCTGAAATACTAGACTACAAGAGTTGAGATCAGGGCTGCAGAATCCATGCCATGGCTGAAGGGGTGAGGCTTAGTACAGGGAGCCGATGGCAGTCCTGAGAAGAGAGCAGCTGGGCAAAGGACTCCGGTGACTCTCAGAGTCACAGGACTCAGGGGAAATGAGGGAAGCAGCAGACAAAGGTTGAACTTGCAGAGCAAAGACAAAGGCGTCAGGAGACAGAAGGGAGTGGCTGGGAAGGGAAGCTGGCTCAGGGAGATGTTTTATTTTAAGCCTGTGGTCTTCAGCTTGTCAGAGCAACAGGGCGTTTGTAGATAGGGACCTGGTATCTATCTCTGAAGGTTTTTATTTATTTATTTATTTATTTATTTTTACTGTTGGTTTTTCTCAGAAGCCTGATTAACTCCTGTGGCCACTGCCTCCGGACCAATAGCAGGTGCCACCAGATCCTATATGTGAATTGCCATACAAGGGCAGGAAGGGCTAATTTGGGCCAATCCTGATAGCAACACCAGAGGATGCTGGGACTTTCCCTCCACCCCCTTTTCCCTGGCCACCACTCTACTCCCTAGGCAGAGAATGACCTACTTCTGGCCTTTTGCCTCATTCTGCTTTTTTCTCTGTCTTTCTTCACCATTTGTTGCTGGCATTTCTGTCTTACCAGCTTTTCAAACACCCTACTCTCTCATCTCTCCCTCTGGGGTGCCCCGTTCACAACTTTTAAGCCCACAAACAATCACCCCACCAGACCTCCTACGTCCTCTTGAAGAAAGTGTGAAGAGATTTAAAAGTGTCAAAATGGAACCAACAAACCATGTAGGAAATTGGAAGAAAATAAATTCCATGCATTGCAGGGTAGGGGGTATCGATCAGACATAGTCAGCTGAGTAAAATTAACTTGGTATTAACATTTGGAGGCAGACAAAATAGCTGTCGTACAAGGAGAACTCTGGATGGCTGGTTTGGAGAATGTCCCCATCAGTTCCTCCCAGCTCATAGTCCCTGTATGTAGAGGCTTTGTCACACTTTTTCTAGAACACATATACAAATGTTGCAACACCATGCCTCTTTCAACAGGGAGGTCAAGTCATTAGAGAGGTTTAGAAAAACTCAGACAATAATCTTTTGGCCACCCACCCAAGATACTTTTGTTTTTTTAATTAAAGTATAATTACATCATTTCCTGCCTTTCCTCTCCTCATTATCTTCCATATGTTTCCCTTGTTCTCTCTCAAAATCATGACCTCCTCTTCTTTAGTTTATATATAAAAATGTATAGATAAAAGTTGCTCAGGCTATTTCGTATTACTTGTGTTTACGTGCCTCTGGGGCTGACCACTTGTTACTGGATAACCAATTAGGAAATTAATCCCTGGGGAGGACTGCTTCTCTGTCTCTGCATTCCTTAGTTCCATGCAGTGCTTTGTCTGTCGGTGGGGCCCTGAATTTACAGTCTGTTCCTTTGTTCATCTAGGCTTTCCTTGCTGTAGTCCAGGCTTGCACTGTGGAGTGTGGAGCATGTTTGCCTTCCGGTCATGTGCTTCCTCTAACCCTCAGCTCTCTGACCTTCCATCCCTATGAAGATTCCCACATCTCACTTGTATGGATGCCTGCGCATGCGATGTCCCATTACACCTGCTTATGGTCTCTGTCTCTGCCCACAGCTCCAACCCTACAGCACAAGGAGGCTAGTGGTCTCCGACCTCCTCCCATTTTACCCCATGCACATCTTCCAGTACACTAGAGTTTCTACCTATGAAAAATCACGCTGAGGGGCTTACTTTTGAACATTTAGCTCAGGTATTGAGAGTTCGGGATTTGTGGTAATTTGGGTAGATTTGGAAGTTTCACACATATGGGCCTTGAAAGGGCATTTGGCAAATATGAACCACATCCAAGGGAAATATTGTAGATGTAAAAGCAAATAGTTTTCAGATGTGTGAGCAGCAATTATACGCAGATAACTTAAGTGCCTGTGGTCTCTTCTGTCCATTAAATAAAGCTGCTGAGAGTTTTACTCAGCAATATTTTTAAAAGCCATTTCTTTACCCAATATTCTAGAGTACTTCAACACAATATAACAGTGATGCTTCTTTTATTGTTTATGTAATTGTGTTCTTGCTGTTCTAGGCTTTTTTTTTTTCTCTGAATAAGTTGGAATCATTGAAATTTTACTCAATCTTATTCTCATCCTGGTACCGTGTTTTGTTTTTTTTCTCCAGGGTTTTTGGGAGAGCCAATTGGAACTCCGAAAGCGATTCGGACGTCTGTGTGGGTAAGAAAACACTCAGGTTCTCTTCTACATGTTTTGATTTCTCATGTTGAGTGGACATGTTGGAAGTCATGACAATAATAGGACTGTCATGCAGTCCTGTTTTGAATTCCTTTTGAGGATGCCTAAGGAGGGAAAGTACCCTACAGTATGCACATACAGAGAGCTAGCTCTTGTTTGGACCTGTCTAGTTCCATCGTATGGGTAAGGTGTGCTACCAACAACGATGTATCTATCAGCTAACCTGGCACACTTCTGGCAGTGCAAATAAGTTCTGTGCAGAATGACATTTGACAGTAATAGGACCAGTCCTGTCCTGGGTACACTGGGACACATGGTCGCCCTTGTTCATTACCCTTATGGCCACAAAAAGTAACATAGCCCTTCCCTTTACTTTTCTTGGTTTTTTATGCTGTGTTTTTTAAATATATGTGCGTGTATGTGATCCTGTGTGCATACATGTGCTTGCAGGGGCTTACTGAGGCCGGAAGAGGGCATCGAGCCCTTGGAAACTGGAGTTACAGGTGGTCGTGAGACAACTTGGGTGTTGGGAATGAACCAGGTCCTCTGCAAGCCCAATGTGCTCTTAACAGCTGAGCCCTCTCTCCAGCTTCCTCTTTGTGTGTTTGTTTATATTAATTTGCTTATTTATTTTGCATCCATTCTCTTCTCCCAGTCCCTCCCTCTCACCTACTTCCCCAACCATCCTCCCATCTTCCCTTTCTTCTCATAAAAGGCTCAGAAAAAGGGAGTCTGCCCACAGATCTCAGCCTGCCTTGGCATATCAAGTTGCAGTAGGACTAGGTGCATATTCTCCTATTGAGGCTAGGCAAGGCAGCACAGTTAGGGGAAAGGGATCCCAAGGTAGGCAACAGAGTCAAATACAGATCCAGCTCTTGCTGTTAGGAGACCTACATGAAGACTGAGGTACACCACTGTGACATATGTGCCAAGGGCCTAGGTCCATCCCAAGGATGCTCTCTGTTTGGTTTGTCAGTCTCTGTGGGCCCCTATGGGCCCAGGTTAGTTGGTTATATATATTTTCTTGTGGTGCCTTTGACCTCTCTGACTCCTTCAATCCTTTGTCCCCCTCTTTCATGGAATTCCCCAAGCTCCTCCTATTGTTTGGCTATGGGTCTCTGCATCTGTTTCCAGCAGTTGCTGGGTAAAGCCTCTCAAAAGACAGGTATGCTAGGCTCCTGTCTGCAAGTATAGCAAATTATCATTAATAGCATGGGTCTCAAGCTGGGCCGGTCATTGGTTGGCTATTCCCTCAATTTCTGCTCCATGTTTACCCCTGTACATCTTGTTGGTAGGAGAAATTGTGGGTCTATATTTTTGTGGCTGGCTTGGTGTCCCAGTCCCTCCAGTGGACATCTTTTCTGGTTACAGGACATGGCTGTTTCAGGCTCCATATGAGGCTACAGTTGTCCTCATAGATTCCTGGGAGTTCCCATAGGTTTCTAAATCATACCAGAGATACCCATGCCCACCAATTCCAGTTCTCTCTCCTTGTGTTCTTTCCCTTCGTCCTACCCCACGTGACCCCTTCTGCTCCCCTCCCCACCTGTCCTCCCCCGGGTTTCCTCTATCCACCCACCTCTCCCAGGTCTCCCTTGTCACTTGTCTTCTTTGGGTCTGTGGATTGTAGCGTGGTTATCCTGTCCTATATGGCTAACATCCCTTTATAAGTGAGGACATAGTATATTTTTCTTCTGGGTCTGGGTTACTTCACTCAGGATGATCTCATCTAGTTCCATCCACTTCTCTGCAAATTGCATGTCATTGTTTTAATAGCTGAGTAATATTTCATTGTGTAAATGTGCCACATTTTCTTTATCCATTCTGCAGTTGAAGATTATTTCCAGTTTCTGCCTATTGTGAACAAAGCTGCTATGAACATAGTTGAGCAAGTATCCTTGTGGTACGGTGGATCCAGTTCCCTCTTTAAAGGTTTTTATGACTCAGGATGTTTGTGCTGATCATTTTTTATATTCAAGTTCTGGAAGACTTGAATCTTTTTGCTTCTCAGCATGGGTCTGTGCTCATGAGGGTCTCCTTCTTTCAGTCTGTTTTCACAGGGCCACTGGGTGATTTTTAGTATATTTTCCTAGGTCTCCAGGCTGGCAGTCATTTTTCTAGATGCACTTAGCTTCTGTTGTACTGCTTTGCCCGTTCTGATGAGTTCAGGTGTTTGGAAACCTTTCTGCCCAAAATGTCTAAACCTGTTGTTCTCTCCATGCTGCTGTGGAAAGGTATTGGCTCGAATTTGGTCATGACTCTATCCAGGAAAACAAGTGCTCTACGCACGTTCTACTTTCTTATATGGCCTTGAGAAATGAAAAAGTTAAGCTGTTGTAGATGGTCTCTGTGTTTGTCTGTTACTGCTGCATGTAACACAGTCCCCTCCAAACTCGATGACATAAACAGCTTATCATTTAGCATGTATCTGAGTGTTGGCTGAGGTTGGCTGGCTTTAGAGCAGCCTGGCTGGAAGGATTTTCGGGGCTTCTTGTGTCATCTGGGAGGGGGCTCCTCTGTGCAGTTCCTCCTCTCACGTTTCCTATCCTCTGTGGAAGATCGGGCTCACAAGGGCAGGGTCTTCTCTTGGAAAAGCAGAGACTCAAAAAGATCAAGGAACTTGCTTGCTGGCACCCTTCCTGTCAAGCCAAGTTACATGGCCAAACTCAGAACCAGAGCAGGGAGCGTGCTGTGGCCACTGAGAGGTAACAAAGTCGCTTGGTCACCCCTTTTGGTGATGGAGTGGGTAGATAGGACCCTCCCATGGGATGGTGGGGGGTGACAATCGTCTTTAAATAATAAGCTCCTCCTCCCTCTCTGTGGCCTCTGAATGTAGGACTTCACTCAAAGTTTTACTTTTCAGTGCAGCTTCCGGCTGTAAGCATGATCCCACTGAAGCACCCTTTCTTCTTGCACGAGTGCTGTCTGGCTGCCTTTTAAACCTCATCTGCAATGGCCTTGCTCTGGTTGCCGCAACCACCTATGTTTCTGAGACACAGCACTGACTCAAAGGGTGCTGTCTCTCCCTGATTTTAAATTCCAGAAATCACTTTTTTGGAGAGTGTGTGTGTGTGTGTGTGTGTGTGTGTGTGTGTGTGTGTAATTTTATATATATTAGATATTGCATTCTGTTTTAGTATGGAAGGCTTGGGTACCTTAGAATTATTCTTAAATGTCAGGTGAAGACTATAAAGGACACACACCCACACATGCACACGCACACTCACATGCACACGAGAGAGAGAGAGAGAGAGAGAGAGAGAGAGAGAGAGAATTGGTTTCCTTGGCAACAGGCTGTCCAATCAACTTTTCTTTCCAACTTTAACTAAGTTCACACAATTTATCCTTTTCATTTCCAGAAAACTTAAATCACAGAGAATGATTTCAAATGAGGTTGTGGAGATCAAAATTGCAGTATCATCTCTAGTCTTTGTTCCCACCTCTGGTGAAAAAAATGGGGGGAAATGACAGAATAATTTTTCACACAAAGCCATCAACCTTTTCTCCTGTAAGAAAAAAATGATGGGCCATAAGATGCTTCCTGCTGTTTCTATGCGTCCTGTCCTGGGCTCCACCAGTGTGCTGTCGGATAGAAACGGCAGTGTTGAACTGGCATCTGTGTAAGCTCCCATCTCGCCCAAAGACTCTTCTTGATCCTTAACTTTGGCATAATGGTTTCACTGATTCAGAATGTCAAAGGACATGGTCCATGAACAACAAAGACCTACACACACACACACACACACACACACACACACACACACACACACACTCCTGCCCCAGGAAATAATTCTGTTTAAATCACATTGATTTTCAGTCTGCTTTTATGACTAGGAAATAGAAAGTATCATGGTCTTCTTCAAGCTTGAAAAGTCAAATAGGTTTGAGTCCTCATGGGACAAGTGAAATCCCACTCTATGGGTGCCAAACAGAGCCACATGAGGGCATAGCTGGTTTGTGGAGAGGGATGCGCGCAGCCAGGAGCCCTCAGCTGTTAATAAGATGACCATGATTGACTGTTAGAGTCCTTACCTACTTATCGTAGCTTGGTCAGAGTTTGGGATTCCTAATTGGACTAGACTCCGAAGCTCACTCCCCTTCCTGCTTCGGTTGTGGGAAGGACATTGCTGGTGAAGGATTCTGCGAGAGGAGCAGAGAGCAGTGTTTCTTATCAGTGCCAATGCCATCACTACCAACTGTCATTGCCCTCCAGAACAAGTGTTTTCTCCAAGTGCCTAATAATGTAGGTGGCTGGCTAGGTCTGTACAAGCTGCATCCTTCTTTGAATCAGTACAAACCAGGAAGCCCGGCATGCACACTGCTCGGCTTCTGCCTTGGGTACTCGGTCACTTCTGACTTGCCCTACGGTACCATTGGCCACATCAGATGAAGACAGCAGGGGCCTGAAAGCAAAGAATGATTACCCAGTCTTTTTCAGCCTGAGGATCAGCTCCAAGTTATATTATCATATTCCACCCCAGTGTCCTTAAGAATGATAACATCACCACTGATAATTAGGTATAAACAGGGTAGAAACGATGCCCCACCAATTTGCGACAGACTAAAACAAGGACCCTTTAGTGTGCGGTGACTATTACTTATAGATACAGATTGTCCTAAGTGTGGCTTGTTAGCAAAACCTCAAGGCCTCTATCAGAAGCCCCTTTCCCTCACCTCATCTGTCTTTCAGCCACTCACTCTGCAGCTCTGCTTTTATTTAGCCTCATTCTCAGCTCTTCTTGCCTCCACGTCACCTTAATTTTGATCTCTAGTGCAAGCATCGCTCCCCCTTGCTGGAACGTGAGGCTCATTCCCGGCACCTGGCCCCTGTGTCCCTCCCTGAAGCCAGCTTTGTTGCATAACCCCCTGTATTCCCATTAAAACATTAAGTAGTAAATAAGTAAACATAAATGCCACCCAGAATTCATAAAGCCCAAAGGGATGTGTGGATACACACTTACCTGCGTCTGCCTCACACCCTG